AAATTCATGGTTCGATCGATTTAAACTTGAAAATTTTTCTTGGAGCTTCAAAAACTGCGTCGATTGCCGCTAACCGCGTGAAAATCGGTTCATTTATTCAAAAGTTATTGCCATTTGAAAATTCAAAAAATTGTGTCTTTAAACTGCTATTAGAGTTTTGAGCTCGAAGAGCTCAAATTGACACAAAAATAATATTTTTGAGCTCGAAAAGCTCAAAAACGTAATGTGTAATTTGAATCGTTTAAGTACAAAATGAGCGGGAAGTTGCAGGGATGGCCTTTAGGGTGAACCGTTTTTCTAATTTTTTTTTATGATACTGAAATTAGCAGACACTTGACAATTGTATGAATTTTTTTTAATAATTATCTAGGGATGGAAAAATTTTTTTTTTTTTCAAAAATTGCATTTATAATTTTTTTTGCTCTAATTTATTTGTTATAAAAATTCTAAAAATCATCAGATGTCTTCCAATTTCAGTATAATTTTTTTGTTAAAATAATCTGCTCAATTAATTTTCATAGCTTTTGATAATTAACTTAAAAAAATTTATATTTGTAGGAAAAATGTTATGAAGAGCTTGTAGAAATTTTTGGTGACAAAATAAATGGAGAAAGACAAATAGAAAATGAAGACTTAGACCGTATGAAATATTTAGGAAGAGTAATTAAAGAAACAATGCGGCTATTTCCAATTACGCCGCTTTTAATCCGACAAGTAAACGGTGATTTAGATATTGGAGGAGGATATACACTACCAAAAGGCAGTACTGTGTTTTTAGCAATATGGAAACTTCATCGCTCTGCATATATCTGGGACGATCCGCTTTGCTTTAATCCTGATCGATTTTTGCCCGAGCAGGTTGCCAAACGACATCCGTATGCTTATATGCCTTTTAGTGCTGGTCCTCGTAATTGTATCGGATTGAAATATGCTATGATGAGCATGAAAATTCTCTTAGCTACGCTTTTACGAAATTATATATTCATGAAAGACAAACATGTTAACATTGGAGACATTGAAATTAAAGCTGAAGTTTTTTTGAAAACTATAGATCCTATAACTATTAAAATGAAACGCAGGACAAATACTTTTGAGTTATAAAATATTATTTGAGTAAAAATTTATATAAACCAAAAGAAGATAACATTTTAAAAAATATATTTATTCGAACAAATAATTTACAATTTAGTAATAATTCTTACTATGATTTAAATATTATTAATCTTATTGTTTTATATTAATCTCCGCGTTTTTGTGACAAACGATATTTGCGACAAGCTTCGGGACAATGACGATCTAAATAACGTCGCTGAGAAAATGCTTTCAAGCAAATTTGACACTTCCACTGCCATTCATGATGATTTCTTGTTCTTTGATGCGCTCGCAAATTTGATCTGTAAAATAAATTAATTCAATTAAATTAAAGTATGTTTCTTTATGATTAATTATTAAAATTTCTATTTTAAATAAATAAATTAATAAATTTCTATTTTAATCAACTTAGATACCAATGTAATAATCTACTACAAAATAAAATTTTGTAAAAATAAAATAAATAAATTATTTAAATTAGAATTGTCTCAGAATAGAAACAATTGTATTATGACTAACATTGTACTACTGGAATAGTAATTGGATTAATCCAATAAATTTAATTATGTGCTTCACTGTTGTTTCATAAAAAAAAGTAAATGTCGATAATTGTATTGTATGATAGTATATAAATTGAATGCCAGTTAATTTTATTAGCAATAAAATTGTAGCATTTAAGAAAAATTTTAAATTGTAAATTATAAAATTAATTTAACAATTATTAATAAGCATACCTGTCAGCAAATGATTTTTGACAAACAGGACACTGGAAAGGTCTTTCACCAGTATGTAGTCTCAAGTGTCCTTTTAATACCCAGGGACGATCAAAACTTTTGTTACAGTAAGGACAATAATGTAAAACCTTGTTTTTTTTGCTATTTTTTCTGTTCTGAAAAGCGAAAATTAAAGGTATTAATTATGATACTAAAATTGAAAAACATTTGATAATTTTTTTAACAAATAAATTAGAGCAAGAAAATTTTTTTGAAAAATTGCATCTTTAGAGGCTCTAAAAAATGATAAATGCAATTTTCTAGACCTGGTTTATTTTTTAAGAAAAATAAAAAAAATTGTCGTGTCTGCTAATTTTAGTATCATAAAAAAAAATGACTAAAAAAATTGAGATAGAAATTTTAATAAATTAAAAATGAAAGTTTTTAAAAATATTCTTTCGGTATTAATTTTTGTTAAATAAAATAAAAAAATGATCAAGTGACTGCTAATTTCTATGTCAAAACAATAATGCTGAAATTGAAAGACATCTGATAATTTTTAGAAATTTTTTAACAACACTAAAGTTAGCCGACATTTTTAATTTTTTTTTTTTTCAATAATTAAATTAGATTAAAAAAATAGTTTTTAAAAATTGCACTTACAATTCTTTAAGTTTTTTACAAATAAAATTTTTTTGTAATAATTTTTTCAATGAAAAAAAATTCTCAAAATTTTTAGATGTCGACTAACTAATTTTCGTAATTTTTTAACTTATAAATTGTAGCAAAAAAATTTTATTTAAAAGTTCTAAAAAATAATAATTGCAATTTTTTAAAAAAATTTTCTAGACCTAATGATTAATTATTAAAAAAAATTATCAAGTGTCTGCTAATTTCACTGTCATAAAAACAATATGTACTTAACCAAAAAATACTTACCTCATCACTCTGAATTTCTTTTCCAGTAATATCTAATTGATTTATATTATTAAATATATTATCACTAATATCACTCTTGACATACTGGATCTCTGATTTCTCCTCGGTAAAATTATCAACAATTTCATTTTGATATAAACTATAGTTATAATTATTTTCCAGGTTAAACTCATTTATTCTACTAGTCGAATAATCATTATGGTTATTATCATCAAATTCAACGAGATTTAATCTTAATCCCAGAGGTACTTGATCACTCAGTAAGTTATTTTTATTAAAATAATATCTTGTCATAATTGGCAAAGACGAATAATTAATATTGTTACTTCCTTTAGCTTCTTTGATGTTATTCGACTTCTTCTTGGAGATCCCTGACACCGACGCACCACTGTATCGAGGTAATTTATCTGCAAGTAACAAATAAAAATAAAATGACATTGAAGTTAGCAGTCTTGAAAATTTTTTAATTTTTTTAACAAATAAATTTGTTTTGAAAAATGATTTAAGAAAATTGCATTTTTAATTTTTAAAAATTTTTAATGTCAATTTTTTTTTTTGCCAAAATTTATTTGTTAAGAAATTATTAAATATCTGTTAAATTAATTTTCACAAAATAAAATTTATTCACTTTAAAATCTGTCAATAAAATCACTGTAGATCTCACCTCCATAAATATTTTCTTTGTGATATCTCACTATCGACTTCATCAGACAGCGTGGCATATTATTGTTATTTATTAATGCTCAAAAAAATATTAATATTTATTATTATAAATAATAGATTGATTTTTTTTTACAACTATTAATGAGTGTATAATAACGAGTGACTTTCTTTGCCGAGTTAAATCACTTAACACTCAGTAGACAGTCTGTCAGTTGTCTTTTGTTTTTTTTTTTATTTTTTAAATTTTACTTTACAAATCTATTTTTTAAATTATTTTATTTTTATAAATTCGTGATGAAAAAAAAAATTTACAAATATATTTGAAAATTTAATTTTTTATAATTATAAAAAAATTAATTTTTATTTAGCAAAAAAATTTTTTCCAAGAAAATTATTTAAAAAAAAAAATGACATTTTTTATTTTTTTAAATTTCTTCTTCAATTTTTTTTTTTGCTATTATTTATTAGCTTAAAAACATTTTCTTAATTATCAAAACTTCTGTTGAATTAATTTTCATAAAAAAAAATATTATTTGTAAAGTATTTAAAATATTTATTAAAGAAGAAATTTATTGAAGAATAATATTTTTATTTTATAAAAATAACATGATTTTCGTAATATTTGTAAAAATAAAATATACATTCATGACTTGTTCAGTAAAATAATAAATAATATTTATTTTATTTCTATATGAAAAATATTAAACATAATTTTTATGAAGAAAAATTATTAATTAATTCAAATCAAATAAAAATTAACTCTGTTTTAATTCCTAGAAGAAAAAATTTTTTTTTTAATTAAAAATGACTATTTATAAAATAATAATTTAGGACAATTATTAATTTAAACATTTATGTAAATTAATTCAGATAAAATATAGTGATATACTAAATAATTAAATTTCCTCATTACTATAATCCATGTAATTATAAATGCAATGCACTAATTAACTCATCAAAGTTAAATTCTTTCATTAAAGATTATAATTCATCATAATCAATGTTTGACTGCCGAACATGTTATTCTTATTGAAATATATAAAATAATGTTTAAATATATTGCAATCGACCAATATTTGGTTTGAATTATTTGTTAAATAAGAACAAAAAATTATGAAATGAGGGAAATGGGATAAAATTATTCATTAGTATGCATTTAACATTCTGCTGTAATTGAGATTAATTTTAATTAATTATAACTATTATATAATTGATTCATGAGATACATTCAAGTAAAATGGAATCATTAGTATCATTTACAGTAATGATCGTGTTAATAAGTGCGCTAATTAAATTAATAACATATCATTACAACAGATTGGATTTATATAAAGCTGGGAATAAAATTTTAGGACCTAGCCCGGTGTTACCAATTATTGGAAACGCTTATATTTTTTTTGGTAGCACCGAAAAATTTATGAAAAGACTTATGATATTAGATAATTACAAATTTTCACCCATGAGATTTTGGCTTGGCCCCAAATTGTGTATTGTTTTATTTGATCCTGAGCAAATTAAGGTAATCAATTGGTCTAATGCTTTTCTGTTGAGAAAACCAAATTACTAATGATACTCAAAATTTTTACTATAGATTAATTGTGAAGAAAAAATATATTTTTTTTTTAATTTATTCTTGGGATTTTTTTTAATTTTTAGCTGTGAAATTTTTTTAACTTCTCGCTTAGAAAATTGAAAATTTTTGAAAATCGGGAAGTTATTAGTTTTACTCCGTTTTCCAAAAATTGAGTTTTCATCAAATCTCGACGTTTTAAGGTCCTAAAAAGCTTCCCTGACTATTCTCGCGATGGTGTCTGTATGTATGTATGTGTGTGTGGATATATCGACAGAGATTGACCAAACTTAGATTTTGAATACAATTTGGACGAATTCGGAGGTGTAGATTTTGAGAAATCTAAAAAAAATTTTTTTCAAATCTTGTTTTTTTAGAATAACTTTTAAACGGCTCTACCGATCGATTCCAAAAACCAATCAGTACTTAACATCAAAAAACCACGTCAATTACCGCCAAGCCGGTCTAAATCTAATCATAATTAATAATTACCAAAGACTTGATAATTTTTAGATTTTTCTCTAAAAATCAACAAAGTCTAAAAAATTATTTTTAAAAAATTGCATTTATAATTTTTTAAAGTTTCTAAAAAAGTTATTTTTTAATAAATTTTTCTAGCTTTAATTTATTTTATTAAAAAAATTCTAAAGATTATCAGATGTCTTAATTTCAGTGTCACAATTTATAAGATATTAGTTTTAAAGTGAAGTTTATTAATATTAATTGTTTCTTCATTTTCAGATAGTTCTCCGAAGTCAAAAAACCATTGAGAAAGATGATTTATACAGAGTCTTCCATCCTTTTCTAGGTACAGGATTGATTACAGCACCGGGTAAGTCTACAAGATACTAGAATCAGCAAACATCTGAAAATTTTGGTATTTTTATAGCAAAAAAAGTATTTTTAAAAATTTGCATTTATAATTATTTCAATTAATTAAAAATTTCTCAGATTTATTTTAGGAAAATATTTAAAATAGCCTTTGATTTATTTTTCAGAAAATAAATGGAAAGTACACCGTAAGTTAATCATGCCAACATTTAATCCTAAAATAATAGAATCATTTATCGGTACGATGAATAAACAGTCGAAAATTTTGGTCAAAGTTTTGGAATCTGAAATTAACGGCAATGAGTTTCTTGTATTTCCTTATGTATCACGTTGCACTCTCGACATTATTTGTGGTAATTATATTATTATATAAAATTATAAATTAAAAAAAAATATATTTATTACAATATTAAAGTTAGCTGATGTTCTTAATTTTTTTATTTATTTTTCATTAATTAAATTGAAACAAAAAAAATTTTTTTTTTTTAATTGCACTTTAAGTTTTTTAAAAATAAAATTTTTTTTTAATAATTTTTTTATTATAAAAATTAAAAAAAATTTTAGATGTCAGCTAATTTAATTTCAATATATTTATTAAAAATTTTTAGAAACAGCAATGGGAGTGTCAGTAAACGTACAAACAAATAGAGATTCATCTTACGTGAAAGCCATCGACAGGTAGATAACGACTGAATAATTTTTAATTAAGTCAATTAAAAAAGGTATAATAACTTACTAAATAAATTTAATCTAGATTAACGGTAATATTTAGCTCTCGAATGCTGAGAGTATGGCTACACTTCGATATGATTTACAAGTTCACAAAATTAGCAAGAGACCAAAATGAATGCATAAAGTATTTGCATAAGCACACAAATGACATTATTGAACAAAAACTTAAACAGCAGTCTGAAAAAATAAATGAAAAAGATAACGTTGCGCTGTCAGGGTTTAAAAAGAAGGTTTTTCTTGACTTTTTAATAGAATTGTCTAAAGAAGGAACTAAGTTAACCAACGAAGAACTCCGTGAAGAAGTTGATACTATGGTAGTCGCTGGAAATGACACTACTGCAACTGTCAATACGTTTACTATTTATATGCTTGCTAATTTTCCAGAAGTACAAGTAAGTTTTAGATGACAGAAATTAGCAGTCACTTGATCATTTTTTTATATTATTTAACAAATAAATTAGTACCGAAAAATTAATTTTAAAAAATTTCATTTTTTTTAATTTCAATGTCAATTTTTTTTTCATGGTACTGAAATTAGCAGACACTTGATAATTTTTTTTTAATAGTTTAATAGACCTAGAAAATTTCATTTATTATTTTTTTGGAGCTTTTAAAAATGGAATTTTTTGAATAAAATTTTTTTGCTAAAATTTATTAGTTAGAAAATTTCTAAAAATTATCAGATCTTTCAATTTCAGTATCACTGTTTTGAGTCAAACTTTTGCCATATAAATTATCAGTCACTTGATTATTTTTTTATTTTATTCAACAAATAAATTAGTACCGAAAAATTATTTTTAAAGAATTTAATTTTTTTTAATTTCTGTCAGATTTTTTTTTTAATGAAAATTAAGTTAGCCGACACTCAAAAATTTGTTTTTTTTTTTTTTTTTTTTTTTTTAATTAAAAAATAGAACTAAAAAACTATTTTTTAAAAATTCCACGGATAATTTTTCAAATTTTCTACTTGTGAAAATTTTTTTTTTTAAATTTAAAAAAATTATTTTTCAATAAAATAAATTATAAAAATTTTCAAATTTCGGCTAACTTTATTTTCATTTTTTTTTATGATGCTGAAATTAGCAGATACTTGACAATTTTTTTATTTTTCTTAAAAAATAAACCAGGTCTAGAAAATTATTATTAAAAAATTGCATTTTTCATTTTTTAAAGATGGAATTTTTTAAATAAATTTTTCTTGCTATAATTTATTTGTTAAAACAATTCTAAAAATCATCATATGCTCAATTAATTTTCATAATTTTGGTTGTAATTAAATTTCATATTTTGACAATTAACTTAAAAATATTTCTATTTTGTAGAATAAATGTTATGAGGAGCTAGTAGAAATATTTGGTGACAAAATAACAGAAGAAACAGAAATAAAGATTGAAGATTTGAACCGAATGGAATATCTAGAAAGAGTAATTAAAGAAACAATGCGATTGTTTCCCATTGCGCCGCTTTTAAACCGACGAGTAAACGGTGACTTGGATATTGGAGGAGGATACACACTACCAAAAGGCAGTACAGTAATCGTAGGAGTATTAAAACTTCATCGCTCTGCAGACTATTGGGAGGATCCTCTTAGCTTCAATCCTGATCGATTTTTGCCAGAAGAAATCGCCAAACGTCATCCGTATGTTTATATTCCTTTCAGTGGTGGCTTTCGCAACTGCATCGGCTTGAAGTACGCAATGATGAGCATGAAAGTTCTCTTGGCTACTCTTCTACGAAATTATGTACTCGTAAAAGACAAGCTTACTAACATTGAAGACATCGAAATTAAAGCTGAAATTTTTATTAAAACCACGACTCCTATCACCGTGAAAATCAAGCGAAGACGTGAACACATATCTACATAGAAAAATTTTATTTTTATTTATCAATATTAACTGAAAGTTTAATTAATAAGTTTTTTTCATAAATTTAACTCATGCATATTTATTGAATTAATTTATACAGTTGTTCAATCAGAAGAATAAATACTTAAATAATTAATTTAATTGATTCTCTTATCTTTGAGCAATCAAAAGTATAAGAAGATTGAGCCGGAGTTTTTGCTTTAATTTCAAAATAATAATTAATTGCGATAAATTTTTGATATTATGGCAAAAATTTTGATCGTATAAATAATTTTTTAAAATAAAAGTTGTTAAAAATTTAATTTTATTAAAAAAATATCTCTTATAATTTTTTCTTGAGACCAATAAAAATACCGCAAATTTAAAATTGAGATTTTACAAGCAACCTTGCAGTCACTATTATGTGACTGCCGTGACTTGTGAACTAAAAAAAATTAAAATTTTGCTTTATTAAATAATGACTTTTGTTAAATTGCACTGTACTTACTTAAATATTGACGTTTTAAAATATATAAGCTCATTCCGGTGTTACATTTATCAAGAGTTTTTATTTGAGTACACACATGCATTTCTGATATATTTTTCATATATACATATAATATATATATATAAATATATAAAATATATGAAAAATTGATGCATTTTTTATATATTTTTCATAATAATATATATATATAAATATATAAAATATATGAAAAATTGATGTGGGTACTCAAATGAAAGGTCTCGATGAGTGTAACATCAAGATGAGCTTATATCTTTAAAAATATCAATAGTTCACAAGATATTAGGTAATTTCTTAATTATATATCAACCCTTATGGAAAAATTTCTCTGAAAAAACTCTGACAAAGTCTTGAGAAGTCTTAAGAAGTCTTACTTTTTCTGAAAAAGGCAGAAAAAGTCTTATCATTGGTGAATAACTCTGACTAAGTCTGACAAATTCTGAAAAAAGACAAATATTCTCTGAAATTTGGGACTTTTGAAAAGAGTTATAAAGACTTAATAAGACTTTTTTAGATTTATTTGATTGAATAAATTAAGCAGAATAGAGAGACTTTTTTAGAGTTTTCAAGTATTTAAAAGACTTTTTCAGCAATGACTATTCAATGAATTAAAAATACTTAAAGAAAAAATCACACTGTTGCAATAAAGATAATTCTACTAATGTTTTTTTTTTTTATTTTATTTTATCGTAAATTTTTACTTACTGACAATTAATCTTCTTTCCTGTTACACAGTAATAGAATATATTTTCGTTTATTTAGTAATTATTTATATTTTTTTTTTGGTATATGTATAAATAAAACTGACTGTTGCAATAGTGATTTTTTTATTGCATTTGAATACACGTTATCGATTAGAAATTATTAAGAATAAATTATAAAATTTTATTTCCAACATGTTGGTTGTTATAATTAAATTCACACCAATACCATCGTATATTTAAACTCATTTAGGCTCTATGCTAATCTTAATGTACTATCCAATTATTACATTTATAAAGACACAAGTCTCTAAAAAATTGGTAATATTTTTTCATGACTTATTCTACAAATACATTTAGTTAACTTTATCTGTGTTAGTAAAATCAATATTTTTACATGTAATTTTATTTGGTATATAAAAATATATCATAGAATATAATTTACTTATAAGTTAATAAATCACTAATTATCAAAAAAACGTTATTTTGTTTACAAAAAAATATCCTTAATGCTAATATTATTGACGCTACACTTACACACACGATTGAGGCATTTTTTGGCCAGATTTACTCAACTATTTATGTATAATTTTTTTAATCACCATAACATCCTGGTGGTATAAAAATCACATAATGTTTGTTTTTTACTGGAGTTAACATACACGGTTGCGATATCATTTTTGCTTCACAAATATTTAACTCTTCAGTAATTAAACATTCTTCAATATTATTTACAGTAACATGTCGTGATGAATGGAAGTATTTCTTTAATCTTACTACTTCCTCAAAAAATATGTAAATTTTTTTTTCTCCTTTATCTGAATTAAAAAAACAAACGTTTTTAATTATTCCTATTTTTCCACTTTCCAATGATACTATAGAGTCATTTGTTTTTGCGCATGCTCGATAATTTTTTGATGTATATCTTTTGCCGTTGTAAATAAATAATCTATTAAATGATTTACATGTTTCAGATCTATTTACAAGTTTTCGCTCGTTATCATTTAAATTATAATTTGTACCTTTCCCAATCAGTATGCAGCCGTCCACTTCAAAAGTATTTTTCAATCAACCTGTTAAATTCCGTTCACAAAATTGAGAGAATTGATTGCTTGTATTAATTTTATTTTTCAATGGTGTTAATGCTTTCTGGAACATGTACCGTCTGGCAATTTGAATAAGGATTTTATTGGGACTTTTTTGCAATTTCATCAGAAAGTGATTTTCATTTTCAAATATGAAAGTATTGTGACACCGTAATGGACCTAATTTTATTACACTTTTGATCAAATGTAATAATAGGTGAATATTATATGTCATTGCTTGTGTACCAAAATATTCTTCATACAAGACTACGTATCGCAAAATCAAAGAGTCAGCTGATGTATCTAGCTCATCAGAATTAATTCGATCAGATAATAAAATATACATAGCTTCCACCAATAGAGCTAAATGTTCTAAATACTTCTGGGGAAGAATATCTTTTAAGCATATAAGTGAATAGAAAAGAATCCATGATCTCCATTCAGTTGCTTTCCACATTTTCCGCTCTGTTAAATTTCTTGGGGATCGAGTTATACACGTAGGATGCTTAAAGTTTAAAAGTTTAATATTAATTGCTTCAAGTTGGTTCGGACTTCCTACATAGTAATCTTCACCGAATGAAGACAGTAGAATTTCAGTATGCTGTTTTATTACACCTAATAAAATAGCATGCATATAATCAGGTGACATCCCATCAACAATGTCAAAATAATTCATCAGATTTATTAATGCTGACGGTCCCCATACACCCATGACATCACTACCAAACTCACTTTCACCAGCAAGAAACATTTGTTCTTTAACTGATTCATTGGTTCGTTCTTTTGGAACAACCGTTGTTATTGGAAACTTTTGAGAGTTATTCATACGCAATCCCGGATGCTCGCAGAATGTGCAACCGTAAGAACCATTATATTGCTTCATATTTAAAATTTTGCATCTTGCCACAGAATCTACTACGGCACATATGGGAATAAACTTGCTGGTTATTGTTTGTTGCTGTAATTTCCATTCTACACCTTCGTCTGATAGTTTATTCGCTGCATCAACGAGTGGTTGCAAAAATAATAACATATCTGGCTCTTCTTTGTTGACCCATAAACCAGTCATAATCATGTACTTAGATTGTAGTTTCAAAGGCAGCTCGTTAATACTTGCATAGATCGGCCAAATGGAAAGCTTGCTGGATTTTGATGGTTGACAACCATCAGTATTGAAAGTATATGAAAAATTATATTTATGTGATAATGGGTTATTTGTTGTAGATAATTTTTTATATATCTGGCCATCACTCATACTCTGAAGATCATTGTTATTTTCATTATTTTCTTTATCTTGAAGATTAGCCAGAAATATTTCTTGCACTTTGGGATCTTCTAATATTGATTTCAACTGTAAGGAGATGTCAAACGTCAAAAAATATGAAATATCTGGCGGTTTCTCACTATTGTCGCAAATTGGACACTGCAATCCGTTTTTATTTAATTCATCTTGAGCGCCAAAGTAGTGATGGCAGTCCCTACAATATACATGGTAAGCAAGAATATCTTCATTTAGTTTTAAAGTTTTAAATAACTTATATTTTGATGACGGAACCACGTCATTTTCGAATAACGTATTAATCATGGATAATATCCCAACAATAGTTTTCCATGTTAGAGATTCTTCAACTCCTTCAACAACTAGTGCAAGAGTCATCATTAGAGCTTCTCCCTGCGTGATTGTCGTACACTTACATAGTGGTTTATTGTAATCGTAATTGGTGTCTTTTTCCTTATCTTTTTGCTGTAAAAAAAAAAATTTAGAATTAGTCATTCAGTTTTTTTTTTTATGGTTTCTTAAATTATTTAAATTAAAGATATTGAAAAATCGTTGAAAATTTAAACAAAAATAAACGATAAAAGATATCTCTTAAGAGATAAAGCATTTTTGAATGCAGCCTAAATACTTATCATCATAAATTGATTATCGGTGAGAATGAAATGAAACCTTGAAAAGGTACAAATGCAAATCAAGACTTTTGCAGTGACATCAAGTATCACTAAAAAAACCGATTTTATCATGTGATAGTCAATCCTGGAAACAAAATTTTTCTTATTCTCTTAATAATATAGATTATATTCATAATAACTGACAGCTGAAAGTATTAATTTTGGTATAAGAAACACAATAATTATTTATTTTTAATTCAAATTTTTTTTTATTTATTGAAAAATTTAATTATTAGTGTCATCGTTTATAGAGTCATTTATAAAAGTATTTTTTAATAATCCAATGATAAGATAAAATAAGTCTTAAGACTAAAAAATTTTAGAGTTAATTAAAAATTATCATTATTAATTTTTTTTTTATTATTATTATCAAAAATTATTAAAAAAATTTTTTTCACTTTATATTGATATTTATAATTTCTAAATTATATTTTTTATTGATAATAACAATTTATTTATTACTTGCATTGTTTAAAAGGTCATTATTGACACACTCTTAACAATTTGTTAATGTAAAAATCATTAATAATAATAATATCATAAATTGACTATAAGTGAGATTGATATGAAACCTTGAAAAAGCACAAATTCAAATCAAGACCCTTGCAATGACACTAAATATCACTAAAAAAATATCAGTCGTATAAAAAAATTATAAAAAACATTTCTTAGAAAAAAATTAAATTTTTAATAATTAACTTTATTATAAATATTTTTTTACATGTCTAAAATTTTCAATAAAAATCTTAGATTTAATAATAAATATAAAAATGATTATTTACAATTTTTTCTTGGTACAGTAGTCTTAATAATTGTAATGTATGGTCAGTAAAATCACAAATAAAAAGTTTTTTCTATAAATTAGTGAAAACTCAACACCTTCATTAATCACATAAACGAATTCAAGTGAAGAAATTAAACACAACCTTAATTTCTGAATTAATTAGTATTGATCTTCATTCAACTGCGGAAAATGTTATCTCTTGGCGAAAAATTAGGTAACGTTGAATCAATATTTCTTCAAGACTTAGATAAAAATTAATGAATATAAAATGTGAAAAGTGGGAAATTATATATATATTTATTCGTCAGTATATTATTAACATTCTGTGAAAAAACTTCCATTAATTTGAAGTAATTATAATAACACCATTGCGAAATAAACTAGATAAATTTAATTATGGACTCATTATTATCAACGGTATTAGCAACCGCGCTAATAACTGTTCTGGTAATAATAATGATTTATCATTACAATAGATTAGATTTATACAAAGCAGGATATAAAATACCAGGGCTTTGGCCGGTATTACCAATTATCGGAAATGCTCATATATTTTTTGGTAGTGTCGACAAATTTATTAGCAGAATCGTTTTATTAGATGAATTTGAATTTTCACCGATCAGATTTTGGCTGGGAAATAAATTGTACATTGTTTTATTTGATCCTGAGCAGATGAAGGTAATAATTTTATTTGATATTATCTTTTTAGATTTTTATAACAAATAAATTATTGTAAAAAAATTTTAATATAAAAATCTCCACATCTAGAAATTATAAAAAATTACAAGTACAAATTTTTAAAAAATATATTTTTTTTATAATTAATTTGTTATATATAAAAAAATTTTTATTTTTATTTATGTAATATAAGGAAAATGTATAGAGTTTGAGATTACTGTAGTCCTCTTCCTACAAAAATTAGTAGTAGCACCAATTCCAATGCCTTTTCTTCATGACACGGAGCCGCTACAGGACCACGCTGCGCTTTTGAATTAATTATTACATTTAACTATAACATTTGTTATAAAAATTAAAAATATTTTTTTTAAATAAAATTTTAAAAACAATTTACAGGTAAAAATATAATTAATGTCTAAATAAGCGAAATTTGATGCTTTTTTTTTTTTTTTTAATTTAGGCAGTTTTTCGTAGTCCAAAAACTATCAATAAGGATGGATTATATAAAATCCTACATCCTTTTGTTGGAACGGGATTATTAACAGCTCCCGGTAAGCGCACATTAAGAATAAATATGAAAATTAAGTTAGCCGATATATATAATATTTACCATTTAAACGTTACAATTTACTCTTTACATGGAAAAAAAATACTATTTCAAACAGTAATATTCGCTATGTGAATATCTAAAATGTTAAAGTATAATAATTAAGAATTCAGACTTTAATATTTATCATTTCGTACCTAAAAAATGATCTTATGATATGTAAAAAGTACAAAATAAAGTTAGTAAATTTCTAATACAAGCAACGTCAATATTTACAAAGTAAAATGGTAAATTTTAAACGCAACGCTAAAAATCAAACTGTAATTATTGACTTGCTTGGACTGGTAAAATGTATATTTTAAAAGTATAACTTTTACTGTTTGAAATGTTAAATTCTCCCAGAGTGAAACCCCCTTCTCTTTCATCTGAGTTCCTCTTCTCCTCAGAATATGGACTATATGTTGAAATGGCAATTTTTACTTTTTGAAACTGTAATTTTTTAAGATGAAAGCGTCGTTATTTACTATAGTGACAGCTACTAATCACTTATTTTGGATATTAAATTATAAATTGTGGCTTTTATACTTTCTACAGTAACTTCTGTAATATTTATATTTTTGCTGTAACGTGTCGAATATTTTAATTTCTCCTGTAAGGAGAAATTATCTCCACGGTTACAATACTTTCAATAAGTTTATTCTAGGCGATAGAATAGCTCGCCGGGAACCAGGTTTTTCATTAAAAATAACCCTCAGATTTAAGAAAATGAATTTAATTTTGTCTTTATTTAACAAAATTATATAATAATAATAAAAATATAATATCAAAATAAAAGTTGCGATCTCCAGAAGAATTATCTCCGCTGCTAACTCTGCACGCTGGATTCTCCTGGGTACTCTCGCTGTTGGTCTCGTGTTGAACTCCGCCGTCGCCTCTTTAGTCCTCGGATTGGATCGACCGTTTACTGGACCTAGACTCAATCTTTGACACCACTCCAACTCCTGGACGTGGCTTCCTGTCTCCGGACTTTGTCACCGTCCCCGCGGTTGATGCCTTCCAAATCCTCGACCTCGGCTCCGTCGGCTCTGGATTCCCCGCTGACCGCTGTGCTGTCCAACTCCGCTGTTGTACTCGCTGTATCCGCTGTTGAATCCGCTGGTTGGTCCTCCTTGGCTTGGTCCGTTTTCTTCAGCTCTTCTTCATCACTCTGAATTTCTCAGTTTTTAGTTTTAAAAATCTCTTTATTTATCATTAGTTTTTACATGAGTTGTTACATGTGTGTTACAAATTTTACTTTATCTGTTCCTATTTGTTTAAACAATTTACGCAGTTTAATTTATGTTTCTTAGTATCTAGTTTGTATGTTGATTTATTTAATGTTTCGATACAGTTTTCTGGGTAAAAATGTGAAAAAAAACCCTTTAGATAATCTGAATTTCTACGGCAATGCACCGTCTTTTAACCCGTTGAGTTTGGTAGAGGGGGAAGATGCGCGAGCGCGCCACTCCGTGGTTCTCCCTCCTCCACGGTACCGCGGGACTTCTCCCACTACTCGTACTTGCCGTTTGCTGACTGCGTGGGGACTGCATCAGCCATCTCATTGGTTCTCGCAAGCTCCGACTCTTTCTTTGATTTTGACTGGTCCTCGCAAGCTCCGATTCTTCTCTTGACTTTGACTAGTCCTCACAAACTCCGATTTTATTCTCGCGAGCTCCGATTATTTTCTTGTTTTGGTTTTAAACACTTAAACTACTAAATTTTTAACTTTTTACTTATATTTTAACGTTTCTGTTACATTGCCACCCCGATGTCCGCTTTACTGTTTGAAACTATAAAAATTAACCGGAATCCGAGTGAATATTACAGTATACTTTTTTCCGTGCTGTAACTTATTTAGTGAAAAAAATTTTTAATGAAAATTCACAAATTGTCTATTTAAAAAATTTTTTTTTCCAAATCTTGAAAACCTTTTTTTCAGCTAGAAAATTACTTTAAAAAAAATTTTTATTTCTTCAGCTAATAACTTTCCGATTTTTGAAAATTTTCAATTTTCTTAGTGGGAAGTTAAAAATTTCATTTGTAAAAAACTTTAAGTGCAATTTTTAAAAAATATTGTTTTGTTCCAATTTAATAAATGAAAAAAAATTAAAAATCATCGGCTAACTTTAGTATTATAGAATAAATACAATATTTGAAATGAAACTGAAGTTGGCAGACATCTAACAATTTTTTAGATTTTTATAACAATTAAATTATTATGATGAAAAATTTAGTAAGGAATTCTTCATGCAGAAATTAAAAAAAAATTATACTTAAGTGTAAATTTTTTTAATAATGAATTTAAAAAAAAAATTTTTTTAATTATATATTAGATGTCCTTTAATTTCAGTGTTATTATTTGTAAGTATTTTATAAAAATTAAAAATGAATAATGAATTTTTTTAGCAAACAAGTGGAAGATCCGTCGTAAATTGATAGTTCCAACTTTTCACCCAAAAATACTCGAATCCTTCGTGGGCGTGATGAATGAACAATCCAATATTTTGGTAAAAGTCTTGGAATCCCAAATTAACAAAGATGAATTCGAATTGTATCCTTATATATCACGTTGCACTCTTGACATAATTTGTGGTAATTATGTTGCTGAAATTGAAAGTAGAATATAAAAATTAAATAAAAATATTTTTTAAATTTAGAAGCAGCGATGGGAGTATCTGTAAATATACAAACTAACAGAGATTCAGCTTATGTACAAACACTTGACAGGTAATTATTAATTACTGACTCAAAAATTAGAATAAGTTAGATCTAGATTGACTTGATTAATTTGATAATAAATAAATTTAATTATTAAGACTTAAAGCAATATTTAGCTACCGAATGCTGAAAATATGGTTGCAATTTGATATAATTTTCAACTTAACAAAATTATCAAAAGTCCACAAAGACTGCATAAATTATTTGCATAATCATACAAATAACGTTATCGAAAAAAAACGAAAATTATTTTCTGAAATAAAAAATAGTGAAGATAATGTTACGCAAACGGGTGGGTCTCAAAAAAAAATTTATTTGGACTTATTAATGGAAATGTCAAACGAAGGATCAAAACTTACAAACGAAGACCTAAGAGATGAAGTCACTACTCTGATAACTGCTGCTAATGATACAACTGCAATTGCCAATACGTTTTTTATTTACATGCTTGCTAACTTTCCAGATGTACAAGTAAGTTTTGGATAGTTGGTTTATAATTTTGTAGCACTGAAAAAAGTTTAATAAAAAAATTATTGGTGGAATTTTTTTAAAGCATTTTTATTATTTTAATTTATTATGATACTAAAGTTAGCTGCCAGCTGTTTATTTTTTTTTTATTTTTTTTAACAAATCAATTGTAATAAAAAAAATACTTTTAAAAATTTTCATTAATGATTTTTTCTAATTTTTGTAAATTGATTATTTTTATTAAATTTTTTTCATATTACTTTCATTGCTATAAAATTGAAAAAAAAATTTATGAAAATTAATTTAGCAGATATTTAATAATTTGTCTAATAAATAAATTACTGAATAAAAAATTGAGAAAAAAAATTGACATTTAGAAAATTTAATAAATTAAAAATGCAATTTAAAAAAAAAATTTTTTTTGTTAAATAAAATTAAAAAATGGTCAATTGCAATAAAAAAATTTCAGTGTCATACTTACAAATGTATGAAAATTAAGTTAGCCGACAATAATACTAAAGTTAGCCGACATTTTTAATTTTTTTTTTTTCTTCAATTAAATTAGAACAAAAAAATATTTTTTAAAAATTGCACTTATAATTTTCAAGTTTTTTTACAAATGAATTTTTTTTAATATTTTTTTTTTGATAAAAAAAAATTCTAAAAATTTTTAGATGTCGACTAACTTAATTTTCATTAGCCGACATTTAAAAATAAAGAATTTTTTTTATTAAAAAAATTATTTAAAAAAATTAATTTGTAAAAAATTTGAAAAATTGTAAGTGCAATGCAAAAAAAATATTTTTTTATCTATAATTAAATTATTAAAAAATTTTTTAATGTCTGCTATTTTTTTTTTTCTAGGAAAAATGCTACGAGGAGCTTGTGGAGATATTTGGTACCAAGACAAACACCAAAAAGGAAATAGAGATCGAAGATCTCAACCAGATGAAATATTTAGAGCGAGTTCTTAAAGAAACAATGCGACTTTTTCCTCCAGTACCAGTTTTGATCCGACAAGTGAGCGATGATTTGGATATTGGAGGAGGATACAAACTTCCAAAAGGCAGTGCTGCAATTTTATCAGTATCAAAACTTCATCGCTCTGCAAATATTTGGGAGGATCCGCTTAGGTTCAACCCTGATAGATTTTTGGCTGAACAGGTCGCACTACGGCATCCTTTTGCCTACATTCCTTTCAGCGCTGGTCCACGAGGGTGTATCGGCTGGAAATACGGAATGATGAGCATGAAAATACTCCTAGCTACACTCATACGAAATTATGTTTTTATCAAAGACAAGCATGTCAGCATCGAGGATATTAAAGTCAATGCTGACATTTTTATTAAAACTTTTGAGCCTATTAGTGTCAAAATTAAACTCAGACAATAGATTTCATACAAAAACTTTTTTTTTTTATCAAGAAATAATATCTCTTTATTTAGACTTAAATTTTTATTTAATTGGAGCCTATGGAAAGTTTCTTTTCTTCGAATTTTTAAATATGTTAATTAAATTTATCTTAAAGAAATTTTTTTGAGTTAATTAATTGGAACAAATGAACGATGATAAATTATTATTATACGAAATAATATTTAATTATATATTATTATAAAAGACAAACATTTTATAATCGAGAACATTGAAATTACAGCCGAAATTTTTACTGTTTTCAACCGTGAAAAATTAAACGCAGATCTCACATTGTGATATAAATGAATTTTTGAGTATTTACTTAATATGATAACGACTGTATTTCTTAATCAGAGACAAAAATTTCTCCACCTTTTTCTTCAGATGGTTTTGTTTGCTGTACTTTTTCATTTATACTTTGAAAATTTTACTGTTGACTTCTTAAATTCAATATTTATAAATTAATAAGAAAAGAATTTTTTTAATCTTTAATAAACTGTCAAGGACGTTGGTTTTTTTTTTAAATTAATCTTGAAATTGCAAATTACTTTTTTAAACATAAATAAATTTTTAAATAAAAAATTAAATGTTTTAAAAAATTTTTCTCAAGCGCCTTGCATGAATTTAAAAGTAATTATATTGTTGTAAAATAAATTAAGTACTTTACTACCAAAAATATTCCAATTAAAGGCTGAATTAATATTAAACTAATTAATCTTCGTCTGTAAAAATTAAACAAACAACATCTTATTGAGTAATAAACTTAAAAATCTTCAGTTTAATCGATAAAATTTAAAAATTGATTCCGTACATACAACAATATATAATATTTCTTCGGTAAATCATTATCATTATAAACTGTATAAAAATAAAAGTGTAAATATATTATTCAACAAGATAAGGACTGTCAAGTCCACCAGCACCAGCAATTATTCCACCTTCGTCTTCTCCGAATGGTTTAGTGCGTAACACATGTCCTACTTCATTATTTATTTTAATATTATTTTGATCCCTTGAATAAAAAAATTAGACAGTTAACGATAAATTTAATTGAAAAAAAAAAAAAAAAAAAACAATGATAAAAAATACACTACCCTATAATTATTCCGTAAATTCCCAGCTCCGAAATAAGTTCTTGCAAACAATTTTTTTCCTCGTTGGGACCTAGAAGATAATTTTTCTCTCGTGGTGCATCAATATACTCCATAAGAATATACCCAGTACGTGTTTTAGAATTTTTCATTGACTCTAAAGATGTCCTGACATTTAATCCGTAAATATTGTTACCACCACCTTCGCGTTGCGGTTTCATCACAAATTTTTCTGGATTTGATATCGCTAATTCCACAGCTTGATCACCATTTTTGTCCTTAAATATAAGAATGTTAACAATAAATTGTTTTACTATAATAATTAATGATAACTGGCATCCTGCAGTAACTATGTGACTTCCGAGATTTACGGATTATGAATAAGAAAATTTTAGCTGAAGGATTTTTTGATATTTATAATCATACTATACATAGTGTAGGTACTTTTTAAATAAATTTAAAAAATAATAGTGCTATCACAGGATCAATTACAAATAATTTAATGGACAAATGTGACTGAACAAATTTATAAAACCAAAAAACTATTAAAAACTCCTCCAAAAACTTGACATAAAAAATTGACTACTAAAAAATATATAAAACCAGAAGCCACTGATTCTTGTCTCGACTTTTCTGATAATACCAAATTAAACTATAAAAATTCCTTTAAAAATAATAATATGCTCGTCACAAAATTTTCCTTACTCTCTCAATTATTTAAATCATAAATAACTATCGCTGAAAAAATATCAAACCCAATTTACGATAAAGATATACCCGTTAAAAAATTTTTCTTAGTCTCTTAATTATATAAATTAATTTTTGACATATAACCGCATTCACGTGTACAAAACAAAATAATTAAATAAACAAATTTTGTTCATCGCGAAATTCGAATCTATTTATAACAATACTTGGAAAATTTATCATAATACCCTTTGAACTGCCCTAATGGCTATGTAACAGCATTACTTGGTAAATTAGCTACTAAATGGCGTTGAATATGTGTAATTATTTAATTGTTATAATTATTATTATTATTATTTTTTTTTCTTTTCATTTTTATCAATTGCTATTATTTTTTTGAGTTGCAATTACTAACACATCAATAGTCTTTTTAATTTAGCAATTTAACTATTGAATTACTATACTAGCTATAAGTCATCTTGATATACATCATAAAATTTTAATGTATTAATCATTGCAATTATTAATCCTGTTAATGGCCTGAGGTGTTGAATTTATTTACTTAAATAAATAAATAATAAATGAATTATTTTAGAAAAGTATATGAAATATTGAAAAGGCAAAAATTCATGTCTCGACCTTTCCAATGATATTAAATTTAATTTAAAAAACTTATTTTATCATATACTTAAATACGCCGGAGACAAAATTTTCTTTATTCTCTTAATTGGACACTGTTATGCATTAATGTGTTAAGTACTATGAAAATCTTATAGTACTTAACACACTATTGCATAACAGAGTCCAATTATATAGATAAATAAATAAATAATATACTTACAAAGTCTAAAGAATATAAACCAGCAAATACTTGACGTACGAGTGTAATTTCGTTTTCATTAAGAAAACGTTTTAATGCATCAGGTTGCGCCAGAGCTTGTTGGACTTTTTTGGTACCTGCTAAGTGATATTGTATCGATGGACATTTAATTGCCCGAGAACGTTCCATAAGTAAACGGACTTTCCATACTTCTTGAGATGTATATGCCGAGGATTCATAACCGGTACGATAATACACAACAGACACTAAATGATTTTCGCTATAAAAAAAAGTTGTAAAAAATAAATATTAAATAGATATTAATAAAGAAATTTTAGACTTACACAAATAATTCTTTGTTCGGTCTAAGCTGTGCCTGTTTAATTAATTCGTTAAACGTACGCCTGATAACTTTTATTTCTGGATTAATATCATGAATCGCATGTTCAATAACTCGTTGATCGCAAATGTTATATGTTATTTCTTCAACGACGAATAATATCACAGATTCTTTATTATTGTAAATTTTCCAGGCTTCGGTCAATCCACTGGCAAAGCCTACTGTTGAATTATTTTCTGGTATCTTTAAAAATTATAAAAAAAAAATATTCATATATTTTTTGAATTTTAAAAATATAATTTTATTTTAAAGTTTACTAATACTCACATTTTTAATTTTATTCGCCTGACCTAGTTGTGATAGTACATATTTATGTAATTTAGAAACAACTGGTGCTAATCCCGCAAAACTTGATGAAATTGTATTACATTCAATTTGTTTAATATTCAAATCACTGTTTAACAAATAATCTGATCTAAATAATCCCAAACTGTGTTCCTGTTGAATTATATAAGTTATGACATATTATTTCAATTTATGACACTGAAGTTGACAGATATTAAAAATTTTTTTGTAATTTTACAGCAATTAAATTATTATCAAAAAAATTCCACATGTAAAAATTATAAAAAATTATCAGTGCAAATTTCAAGTATTTTTTTTATTGTAATTAATTTTTTATAAAATTAAAAAAAAAATTGACAGCTAACTTCAGTATCATTTTAATTGTTAAATTAATTATTAAATATTTTACCTGCGCATATCCTTCCTTGAAGACAATTTTGTACACATTGAATAATTCCATGGTGAATTCATCAGCCTTAATGGTACTGTAATTGAATAATAACATTAAAGTTAGCAGTCACTTGACCATTTTTTAATTTTTTTTTTTTAACAAAAAAATTTATTCCAAAAAAATTGGGTTTTAATTTGATTAAATTTCTTCATGTCAACTTTTTTAGCCATAATTTATTTGTTAAAAAAATTCTAAAATATCTAGTAAATTAATTTTCATAATTAAATATTATTTATTAAATTAATTACATATTAGTATTTCAAAGCTAATTTAGTTATTAAAAAATGAATCAATAATTCAAATTCATAATTTTTTTGTGCAAAATTTGAGTTATCATTTTTTAATTGGTTTAAAAATACAAAGAACTGACGTATATCAACTGAAGATACGCTGGTTGATTTTAAAAAAATTAACATGATTATTCAAATTACCTTTGTAAAGTTTCTGTAAGGAACTCATCATCATAAGCTACTTTATGCATTAACTTATTAATAGTAACTTGTATATTTTTAGCCTTATCAAATTCACATCTCGGAAAGCTCGTTGGTATCAGTGTAAATTTTGATATCTTAACACAATTACGATCGAAACACTTGTTTGAATGCATTGAAATGCCTGAAAAAAAAAAAATTACGATCCAATCAGTATAAATCTGTATAATAGTAAAGTTAGCCGAAGTTTTTAATTTTTTTTTCAATTATTAAATTAGAACTAAAAAATATTTTTTAAAAATTGCTCTTATAATTTTTCAAGTTTTTTGCCAATGAAAGTTTTTTTAAAATAATTTTTTTAATAAAAAAAATTTTTAGATGTCGGCTAACTCAATTTTTATAGAAAATTGTCATGAAAATTAAGTTAGCCGACATTTAAAAAATTTTAAGATTTTTTTTCATTAAAAAAATAATTACAAAAAAATAAAAAAAAATTTTCATTTGTAAAAAAATTTAAAAACTGTAGTGCAAATTTTTAAAAAATATTTTTTTGTTCTAATTTAACTATTAAAAAAAAAATCAAAAAATTAAAAACGTCGGCTAACTTTAGTATAATAAAATTGTCAAGTAAAATTATACTTACCATTTATCAAAGCAAAATCTTTAGCAACATTAACTATTTCTTCCAATTTCTTCTCTTCTAATGGCACATCAACACACAATTTAATAGACTTCATTTTAAAAAAATGAACTCAATAATTAAAAAATATTCAAGTATATTAAAATATATCAACTAGTACTGACGTATATATTAAAAACAATTAATTACCAAGTACCATTAACTAAAAATTATCAGGAGCAATATTTATCATTAACAAGACACGTAACTACAAAATTATAAAAACTGTCAGATAAAAAACACACACATATATACTTATATACAAATAACCTGATAATTACATATTTATCATATCATCACAATGAAAAAAATCAACAATCACCCGCCGTTAGGTTATATTTTCAAAACAGAGAGAAAAATAAAAAAAAAAAAGTTAAATAAAATAAAATTTTATTTAAAATCAGCGACAGTTTGTGTCACTTCTCAGCTCTGATTGGCCAGAATATCCAATTCTGATTGGTGGATTCATTCAGGTCACAGATTCTAAGCTCCGCTAGGTGGCGTCAATAAGTTAATAAGTTGCCAGAGGCTTGGAAAGAAAATTGCTTGGAAACTGGAGACAAGTTCAAGTGCTGTGAGTTTTATCTTAAAAGTATTGAAAGAACTTATAAACTTGTGAATATTATTATTTTTCATTTATTTATAGGTAGTTAATTAACTAAACATCAAAAATATATTTATTTAAACAACTCCAACGCGGGAGTAAAAATATTACGACTTGCTAACAGGGCGCATACTGTATAGTAGTAGTTACATCAAAACCAAACAATCCAAGTGCGTGAAAAAATATTACAGCTCCAATTCGTAATCTCTAATTGCAAGTGACTCGGCCTAGCCTGGATCATCAGCATCATTGTTATCAACGCTCAGTTTTATCCTCGTTCTCGGTAGCATCAGTGGCATCGGTATCGTATCTTGTTCCTGGTGATTACAGTATATTACAGTGACGCTTGCGCGCCATTACTAATTATCTTATTCTCTTAAACCGTACATTCTTTGGTATATATCATATCATACAGTATATTTAATATCCCTTTTCTCGTGTGCTTTTTCCCCAGGCACCAGTGATCAGGTCTTACGGAGGTATTATCACCAAAATTAAAAAGTCTAAAGGAGTTTTTAAAATAAATTTACCCGTGGATAAAAAAATTTAAAACAATTATTTATAAATACCGTCTTTATAAAAAAGAGCATTAATAATAAACCGGTACGTGAAAAATTTGATGGTTAACAATGAGTGACTACTCAGCGGTAGCTCCGCCTCAGAATTTCAGCCAGAGTTCGGCGTTTGCCGCGGCATTACAACGTGCTAAACAGGTATATGATTCATACGTTTATATATATATATATATATATATATATATATATATATATATAGTCTATTATTATAAACTTATATTTAATGCATACTTGGGTATAAATATATATACCAAATAAGTTTTAACTTTAAATTTATTCACGGCCTGACTGAGAATGACCTTTTGCTGGTTAAGAACTTTACCTTTTTATTTTATTAAATTTTTTATTCAGTCTTTTATGCTTGGGAATATGGATTCATAAATATTGAATGCTGACTGGAGTCTCTGGACCTGAATAAATGAATGATAGTATTGATTATAGGAGCCTTTTGTTTATCAATTTATTATTTTTTTTTCAATTTTAGATTGCTGCTAAAATTAATCCTGGAGGTAGCCAGAACAGTGATAGTGGAGTCAAAAGGCCTCTTGAAGACAGCTCAGGTAATTAAAATTTTTTTATTAACTTTTAAGTGATTATTTTATTCTATTGAAATTTATAGAACGGGAGGATTGATGATGAAAATTTATTTTTTAACAAATAATTAATGCCAAAAAAAATTGACATTTAGAATTTTAAAAAAATTAAAAATGCAATTTTTTTGAACTAATTATGACATTAAAGTTAGCTGACACATGACAAATTTTTAATTTTGTTTAACAATTAAATTAATTCTAAAAAATTATTTTTAAAAAATTGCATTTTTAACTTTTTTTAATTTCTACATGTCAATTTTTTTTGGCCATAATTATTTGTTAAAAAAAGTTCTAAAAATTATTAAATATCTGCTAAATTAATTCTCACATCTAATTTGTTTGTTAAATAAAATTAAAAAATATTTTTTAAAAATTGCACTTACAGTTTTTAAAATTTTTTATAAATGGAATTTTTTTTTATTTTTTTGTGATAATTTTTTCAAAAAAAAAAATTTACAAAAATTTTTAGATGGCTAGCTTAATTTTCACAACAAAAATTTACATAGAAATTTAAAAAAATAAAAAATGCAATTTTTTGGAACAAGTTTGTCTGTTGAATAAAATTAAAATTTGTCAAATGACTGCTAACTCTAATGTCATATTTTTAATTTGTTTAATAGAAATATAAATTAAATTGTTGATATAAAACAACAAAAACTGGCTAACAACAATTGAAATTAAAAAGTAAATGTAACTCTGCATACTTGGCCTTAATTCATTTCTTTTTTTTTTTCCTTAGTTATTAAACTACTTTGTCAAATTATAATAATTATTTAATTTAAGAAATTTTAGATTATATAGAGTCATACGGCTGCCCAATTTCAAAACACAGTAACTAACATTTAAAAATTGTTTTCAATTTTTCTTATTAAAAAAAAGTTTGCCCGCCAAATTGATGGAAAAATTTGATTTATGAAAAGAAAATACTTGAATATAAATATTTTTAGCAAAAAATACTTGAAATTAAAGTCTTAAAGTTGTAAAAAATGTAGCAATACTAGAAAAAATTAGGTATAAAAATTTTGCAGTTACTGTGTTTTAAAATTAGGCAGCCGCATACTTCTACTTAAGTCTTTACTCTGTCAAAATCTTCAACATTGTAAAAATTAAGTAACTCTGTTATTGGCCCTCTGGGCTGTTGGGTTAGTGTAATGGCAAATAAATAAATAAAATATTAATTATTTTTTTGTAGGTTTCAATGATGAATTTTCAGAACCAGAGACAAAAAAATTGGCGCCAGATCCATTAATTGGAATGAGAGGAGGACCAATAAGTGGAATGAGTGACAATGGCGGGAACCGAGGAGGTCCAGTATCATCACCAACACCAGGCTTGGGAGGTATATGCACTGAAGATATCAGAGTTCCGGACAAAATGGTCGGATTAAGTAAGTTTAGGAATTTTATTGATTAAAAGAAAAATTCCTAATCTTTATTAAAAAACTGATCTACGCGTTATTCTTAATTTTACATAATAATACCTTTTATTAACTGATTTAGACAAATATTTTGATTGAAACTTACTACTCATTAATTATTTCCAGTAACATTTACTGTCTGTATTAATACATATATATTTTATTTATTTTATTTATTAAAGTAATTACTGTTCAATCAAAATAACTGTACTTAATCCGAGTGAAAGATTTATTATCATTAACATTATTATCTCGGACTGGTATTTAAATTTAGAATATAAATAATATATTTATTACTAATTAGAATCACAGTTTATCTTATTTTTTTGTATGTTTTATTTTGTTTGTGTTTTTACATACTAACAAGTGATTCTAAATTCCATAATAAATTTTATAAAATTTTTAAAATTATTAAAAAAAAACTAATTCCATGAGATTAATAATGTGACATAAATTTTAGTTTAATATAATTTTTTTTTTTTTCTATTTTCAGATAAATAATTTAATAATTGTATGTATTTTTTTAGTAATTGGACGAGGTGGTGAACAGATAACGAGGTTGCAAAGTGAAACAGGGTGTAAAATACAAATGGCACCCGAAAGTGGCGGTCTGCCTGAACGTCTTTGTACCCTAACGGGTCCAAGAGAAGCTGTCAAGTAACTTGTTTTCCCTTTTTTTTTTTTTATTTTCTTGTTTTTATTAATGCCGTATTATTTATACTTATATATTTCATTTAATTATTATTATTATTATTATTATTATTATTATTATTATTATTTTGTATGCAATGCAATCCTATATGAAATCCCCAAAAACATTCACGACATTATGTTTTTATCTGCTTTAGAAATATCTATAAAAACGTATATATATAATATATATTTTTAAAAAATTAACCATTTATAATTACCAAGCAAACTATCCTCCTCGATATTATTTTAAACAAATGTCTGCTATGTTTAACATATTTATATTTATATATATTTGTAATATATATTTATATAAGTGTTTAATTTAAAATAATTTAAAAATTGATTGATATCGCACATGCATTTATAGAAATATCAAAATCGTTGACATTTTTTCAGAATTATTGTAGATCCTGGAGCAACCATGGACACTACGTATTTTTTCATTTATCATTTTTTATTCCTCATATATTATTGATCAATTGTAATCATAAGCATATATATATATTATTTACTGCCCATATTTTATTGAAAAACAAATATTTTATTATTTTTTTTTTTTTTTGTTTATTAAAATTAATGTATAATAGTTTTTTATTTTTACCAATAGGGATTTTAAGACAGTGAGAAAATTGTAGGGAGGATAGAATTGTGCATGGGTTTCTCAAACAAAATCACGACGTCTATTTATTTTATTTGTATTTCATTTAAAAAAAAAAAAAAACGAAAAAATTGCAAAATTATATCATTAACCACTATTACTATTAGTCTCATTGTTATTATATTTATATGAAAAAATTTATGTAAACTTTTATTTTTGGTATTGATATTTCGAAACATTACAGCCATATGATTGTGCTTTGCAAACAAATATTGTATTATGTGTATTGTATATTGCTTAGTAATAATTAGTTTATTCAAATTAATTCTATTAATTTATTTTTTAATTTATATGTTTTATTAATAAAATTTCTTTTTTTTTTATTTGTGTTGCAGTCGTGCCAAGGATTTGGTACTGTCAATAGTTAATCAACGGTGTCGCTCTGAAGGAGGAGGTATGGGTGAGATGAATATGCCTAACCCGAATGCAGGAGGTGGAAACGGTGGGGGTGGTGGCAATAACGGAGGTGGAGGAGGTGGTGGTGGTCCCATGATAAGTAACAACAGTCACCCGGGAAGCTTAGAAATTATGATTCCTGGTCCCAAAGTTGGATTAATTATCGGAAAAGGTGGCGAGACCATTAAACAGCTTCAGGAAAAATCTGGAGCTAAGATGGTTGTAATTCAAGATGGACCTTCTCAGGAACAAGAAAAACCTCTAAGGTTAATATTTAGTAAAAAAAAATTTTTTTTTTTTTTCATAAACATTTATTATTATATTAATTTAAAAGAGTCAATTATTATTAACTGATAATAATAATAATAATAATCATCATCATAATAAAATTTCAAACTTATTATTATTATTTTTATTTTTATTATTATCATAGTTGATAATATTAAGAGAATAAGCCAAACTTAGGCTGCATTCGAAAATGTTCTATCTCTAGATACATAATTAAGAAATGACCCTGTATCTTGTGAACTATTGACATTTTTAAAGATATAAGCCCATCCTGATGTTACACTTATCGAGACCTTTCATTTGAGTACCCACATCAATTTTTCATATATTTTATATATTTATATATATGCATATATGAAAAATATATCAAAAATGCATGTGGGTACTCAAATGAAAGGTCTCGATGAGTGTAACATCGGGATGAGTTTATATCTTTAAAAATGTCAATAGTTAAAAAAGTACAGTGCAATTTAACAAAAGTCATTATTTAATAAAGCAAAATTTTATTTATTTATAGTTCACAAGTCACGGCAGTCACACAGTGACTCCAAATTTTCTAGTTATTATTACTATCGAAAAATCATTAATTTTTTTTTTTTTTTAATTATTACAGAATAACTGGAGATCCACAAAAAGTTGAGTACGCTAAACAACTAGTCTATGAATTAATAGCAGAAAAAGAAATTCAAATGTATAACCGTGGACCGAGAAATAATGACCGTAATAGTTTTTCAAACGACAATGGTTTTAATAATCATGGCCCTTCGTCATCGAATAACGGTGATAATTGCGAAGTATTAGTCCCAAGAGCGGCTGTTGGTGTCGTAATTGGCAAAGGCGGTGATATGATTAAAAAAATTCAGTCTGAAACTGGAGCACGCGTACAATTCCAGCAGGGAAGAGAGGAAGGTCCAGGTGACAGAAAATGTTTACTGTCTGGAAAACCACAGGCTGTTGAGCAAGCGCGTCAACGAATTCAAGAGCTCATTGATAGTGTAACGGTCTGTAATTTTTTTTTTTTTTTTTAACATTAGACCTATTTCACTTCGTTGTAAAACAATACTGATGTTAATTTAAATTACAGAGACGAGATGATAGACCGCCTCAAGGAAGAGGTGGCCCGCGTGGTAACGGGTTTGGCGGAGGTAACAATAACAATGGTGGAGGCGGAGGTTGTCCTAATGAATACGGGGGCTGGGATCGTCGTCAAGGAGGTGGTAATATGCAAGATAAAATAGAAGCTACGTACAATGTACCTTCAATAAAATGCGGAATAATTATTGGCAAAGGTTTTTTTTTTTTTTTTTTTTTTTTTTTAATAATTTTTTATTATATTTTATAGTGTTTTATTAAATTATTTAATTAAATTTAAGATGGTAAGACAATTAAACAAATTAACCAGCAAACAGGAGCACACTGTGAACTTGATCGCAGAAATTCAGGAACTGAGAAGATTTTCTTCATTCGCGGTTCTCCGGAACAAGTTGAACACGCTAAAAGGATATTTAATGAAAAATTAGGCGTGGTATGTAAATTAAAATTTTTATTATTTTATTTATGGGTATTTTTTTATTATCTTTAATACGAATTATTTTTTTTTTTTTTTTTAGCAAAATGACCCAATGCACGATTTCCAAGGAGGAAATGCAGCATACGCTGGTGCTCAAGGTGCAATAGGCTATAATCCCACATGGAATGCAAGTGCAGGTTATCAGACATGGCCTACTCAAGCTCAACCAGCTGACCCTGGTATATATATAAATTTTTTTTTAATATTAATTTAAATAATTGTTTGTTTGTTTAAATAAAATGAAATAAAATAAAATTTTTTAGCTGCTGCAGCACAACCAGTGCAAATAAACCCTCAAACAGGACAACCAGATTACAGTGCCCAATGGGCAGAATACTACCGTTCCTTGGGTATGCACCGTGAAGCTGAGTTAATCGAACAACAATCCAAGCAAGGTAAAGGCGATCCATCTCAGCAACAAGCAGCAGTTGCCGCCGTTCCAACTCCTGGTGCTGCAGCTGCTCAGACAGCTCAACAGCAACCGCAAGCGAACCAACAAGCTCAACAGCAAAATGCTGCCCAGAATGGTGGCCAGGCGGACTACAGTGCTCAGTGGGCTGAGTACTATCGCAGTATTGGTAAAATGAAGGAAGCCGAGGCTATAGAGGCCCAAATGAAAGCTGGAAAGGTAATAATTTGATTTTTATCTTATTTATTATGATACTAAAATCAGCAGATATTTGAAATTGTTTTTTTATTTTTGTAAAAAAAAATTATTTTTTGGAATAATTAAAGACACCCGTTCTTAATTTATTTAAAAACTATTGATTTTTTTTATTAAAAAAAAAATGTTTATTATTTTAATTTGTCAGTTGTTTAAGTGTTAGTTAAAAAGAAAGATTATTTATTTATTTATTTGAAAAGAAACGCCCTCGGTAATTGACAATAATATATTACATTTTTATGTCTAGAATGTTTAGTTAATATTTATATACAATAAATAACATCTGTAAAGAGAAGATAGATTTAAGAGATTTGAGAAAAGAGAAAAACAAAAAAAAATTTTAATAATTAATAATCACTAATTGATATTTTAGAATCAACCTTTTTACTTCACTTTTTATCCTATCTGCTGGTCCTCCAAAAATTTCATAATTAAAATTAGATTTATTAATTTATGCCAAGGCACAACAGCCAAATGGCAAATATGAAACAATACAATATTTACAGTAAAGTAGAGTCTTAAAACTAGATTAATCTATAAAAACTAAATAAATTTATTATTTTACGTACAAAAGTAAGATAAATACTGAGGAAATTATTGCCAATACAGTTTTAATATTAATCTTAATCGAGTTAACCGAAAAGTTTTATAGAACAACAATACTATTACATTTTTATGTCTAGAATGTTTAGTTAATATTTATATACAATAAATAACATCTGTAAAGAGAAGATAGATTTAAGAGATTTGAGAAAAGAGAAAAACAAAAAAAAATTTTAATAATTAATAATCACTAATTGATATTTTAGAATCAACCTTTTTACTTCACTTTTTATCCTATCTGCTGGTCCTCCAAAAATTTCATAATTAAAATTAGATTTATTAATTTATGCCAAGGCACAACAGCCAAATGGCAAATATGAAACAATACAATATTTACAGTAAAGTAGAGTCTTAAAACTAGATTAATCTATAAAAACTAAATAAATTTATTATTTTACGTACAAAAGTAAGATAAATACTGAGGAAATTATTGCCAATACAGTTTTAATATTAATCTTAATCGAGTTAACCGAAAAGTTTTATAGAACAACAATACAAGGTAAACAAAAGTTAATGTTTCGAAATTTAGTTATAGTATTTAAGTTTTGATTTATGCTCATATTGCTTTCTTCATAATTTAACAAAAAATAACTTAAATATCTAAATCAAACAAGTAATCAAATATCTCGTCTGATTTATTAAAAAATATTTAAAAATAATTGCATTTAAACTATTAATTACAATATTATTTTTGAAAATTTGTAATTTTTTTTTATAGAAATTTAGTTATTAAAAAATAAAAAAAAAAATTGACAAATGTCTGTTGATATTAGGATCATAATTTATGACATTTAATTTTTACCAATGTTTGATTAAAATTGATTTATGATTAATAATTTTTCCCAGGGCAATCAAATGCCTCAAGCTCAAATGCAACAGCAAACAATGCAAGCTCAAACCGGAGCTGCAGCTGCTCCACCAACGCCAGCAAACGCTTTTCCACAAGCATACGGAGCCTATCCGGGGATGAATCCTGGCTCAACACCCGGTAATTACTATGCCGCAGGTGCTGGTGCTCCACAGCAACCGAATCCAGGACAACAGAATCCGGGATTCCCAGCTGGCTATCAGAATTACTCTTACTCCCAGCCCAATGCTGATAATTAAGAGTCTCTACAATATAATTAAGTAAGTGAATATTTATTTTTTTTTTTAATAACAGCTTTTTAAAATTGCATATAAATAATTTAATGTAAAATTTTTCTTATAAAATTATCAAAATTAATTTTTATAATTTTTATTATGTATAATAATTTTATTAAGTTAAAATATTAAATATGCAATTTTTTAAAGCTCAATAGAATTTAAAATTGTAATTAACAATTTTAAACAATCAATCGATTGCTTATCAATGGTGTAACAATATTAATCCGATATTATATATAATTATTCTATTATTATATACATGTATGTATTTTTTAATTAGCATTAGTATTATATAAATGTATAACTATCTATATTTTATTTTTTTATCTTTTTTAACATCTGGCGTTGTTATTAAAATTTTCAGGGCTAATAATTATAAAATGAAACAAAATAACTAAATATGATATGATATTGAATGCATAATTATGTTTTACACCTTTGACAATTTAAAATATTTAACAAAGAAAAAATGATAATTATCAACTGATAATTTATTGTAATTTGTTAATTATATAAACATATTTTATTTTTTCTACAGTAATCATTTCATTTCCCACAGTTTTCAGATAGCTTTCCATTGGGACGCGGTAACCTGCTGTTGTCTTCACATTATATAAAAAAAAATTAATTCATTAAAATAGTTACTACAAAATATTGAATTGATATAAATTATATCATAATAATAATAATAATAATAATAATAATAATGAAAAATTATGGTAATTGACGATCCGCATAATAGCGAAAAAAAGATCATTTAAATTCATAAAAAAAATATGAAGATATAGTAAAGAACAGTAATACAAGTCCTCCGTCAATTTCTTCTTTCTTTTATTAAAAGTAATTAATTATTAATAAACAAAAAGTATATAACCACCGTAGGATATTATATTTTTAATTGCTAAATCTTATAAATAAATAATTATTGTGTAAACAAATATAGTCCTTCAGTGTTCTTTGGGAAAAAAAAAAAAAAAAAAAAAAAATTGTCTCAGATGTTTCTTATCATGAAAATTTTTACTGTACTGTAATATAAAAAAAAAATAATTATGAGGATAACAATAGTAGAAGGTATGTATTGGTAGGTGAGCAGCAGACGAGTTTTAGGATATTGTACTACGAATGCTTATAAAAAAAAAAAAAAAAAAAAAATTTATGAAAATTAATAATTTGAATATTGATGTGGGTAAAATTAAGTTTATAAGAAAAATATGTATTGTTAGGTTTCGTGTCTGATGCAGCAGCCTCGTATGCTTTAATAATAATTATTAATATTAACAATAATGATAACATTGTCTTTCTAATTATTTTGGCTTTTTCATATTGTCATTAATGGTATCTCAATTAATTATTAATTAATTGATAATCTTGTATTAATCAACCAATATCACTAGTTGAAAAAATTTTAATTTGTGTAAACTTTTACTGATATTTAATACCCATTATGCCTTTTTATATTTTATATTACAATTATGATTAGTCATTTAATTTTTGTTAATCTTTATTTTAATTAATGTAATTTAGGTTGATATTGTACTCCATTAGTTTCATTTTTAGATGCGGAAAGCAGCTGTCTAGAGCCTAGAGCCTGTCCGACAAATTTCAATGTTATAAATTTTTTTATATTATACATATTTACCGATTTATATAAACATAGGCTTGACATTTTTGCTTAGCAATTGCAATGCATTTATTATTTATGATTATATTGTTTTATCTTCGTTTATTAATTACTCACTTGTCAAATGATACTTGTATAAATGTCAATGCGTTCTTCAGGAAATAGGAGAGGTGTAAATAGAAGACGTTTATCGTAATACCAGTTAATCGATGGACGTCCTGTTTGTCAACACATTTATTATACGATATTTCTGTATCATTTATTATTATTGGTATCAATTGATTTTTTATGTCTTCTTATACATATATATTTATTTTTATTTAACACGGTAGGCTTACGAGGTTTGTTGTTTTATATTCTTCATTAATAAAGAAGAATATTTTTTTTTTGATATCATATTTGTAGTAATTTCTTGAAAGAATAAAAAAAAATTTTTTCTTAGAAATTTATTAAAATTTTTTTTTAAATTTTTTGAATTTTTTCTCAAATTTTTGATAAAAATTTTTTTTTTCTAAAATTTTATTCAATTTTTTTTCTTCAAAATTAAAAAAAAAAAAACTTTTTGATAAAAATTTCTTAAAAAAAATTTTTTTTACAAACTTATTTTAAATGACAAACCTCGTTGATTAAAAAAGAAATATTGTAATAAATCTAAAGTGTATTAATAATAAATATTTAAAAGTGTTTAAAAAAAAAAAAAAATAAGTTAACAATTAACTAAAAATAATTTCAATGAAGAATCGGATAAATAATATTGGGAGCTCAACAATTCACCAACAAACTCACCAGAAGTAGTAACAAAAATACTAAAGATAATTAATTATAAATGGTAATTAATTTAATAAATATAAATAACTAAAAGGTATATATAATCAAACTAATTAAAGTTATATATTATATTATAATTATGACCATTACTTTTTTGAACACTTGCTATTCTTCTTTTTGATGTTTAAAATAGGTTTTACGCTAATAATTAGTATTCTGATTGTTATTTTTTAAATTATTGACCAAATAATTATACCGTAATATATTATTTAGTGAATGAATTTATTTTCATTAGATAAAAACCACGGTAATGTCTATCAGCCACATTTTTTATAAATAATAGCACTCTTTGTTTATTTTTTAGACTTGACGCACCATCTTATTTTATTAAAATTGTAGTCAATTTTGCTATTTATATTTGATATATTTTTTCCTATTAATATTAACTGTTAATTATGGTTCATAAAAATAATTTATTTATCAAACTAATTTATTATATTAATTATTCATAAATTTATTGAATCTATCGTTTCAGGATTTAAATCAGCGTCTTCACGGCAGCGGTCAAAAGAAGAAAATAAATGTCGGATTCAAATAAATTTATAATTTTTTTTTTCTATTTTAATCAAATTGTGAATGTATCTTTAATTAAGACCGTCCTTGTATTATATACAATTAGTGAGTTTGTGTGTTTGAATTTTTAAAAAATAGTGAACAAAAAAATTAAATTTATTATTTATGCCGTCTTTTAACTTTTTCTACTTGTCACAAAAAATAATTAAAAAAAAAAATTTTACAGTGCATTTTTAAGATAATGATTGGTTATTTATAAATGTTATTATAAATATTCAAAATAATAATAATAATGTAGCTATAATAATTAAAACTTAGATTTACTAATGAATTACTGAAATGTTTATAAAAAAATTTATTAATTTTTTTTTAAACAATTTTTTATTGATTTATAATTTTATCATTTTACAACATAATAAATAAAAATTGATAATTAATATTACACATATTTCTTTGGGTACGATTGCATGGATTATTTATCACGCTAGACACCAAACTATAATAAATATAAAATACTTTTTTTTTTTTTAATTCGCATTAATTTGTTAATCGATAGTAATTTAATTAATATTTTATTTTAATAATTTAATGCAAATTTAACAATTTATTAATGTTAAAAATTGATAAATTTTTTCGATAAAATTTTCAAGACAATTTATAGCTTTTGACTTAATTAACAATAAATCAATACAAGTCTTATAAATTCAAATTTAAAGCTGTTGAGCAAAAAAAAAAATTTTTTTCAAGCGATTTAATTTAGTATCTGCGTTAAAAGCAAAATTAATAATTTCTTTACAATTTTTTTTAATAATAATAATTTAATTAACATTCTAATTGCATTATTTTCCCTAATTTTATAGTAAAAAATTCAATTGCTAGTGACAATTATTAAATTTTTTACACTTTCAATTACGCGCCTTACAATTAATCTCAATACTGTTCAGTAAAAAGAAATTTAATAGTTAAATGTGCGTTAAATTTCCTGACATTTATGTGCAATCGATTAATTTTATCAAACAATATTTTATTGCTTGGTAGTTTTTTTTTTTTAAAAAAAGAAAAAACCTTCAAATTAAATTAAGGGGGGAAATACGTCTAGAAGGTCGTTTTCATACTGATTTTCATTAATTTTTTTAAGGTATAAAAATTAATTTTACTGATTGAAACTATCAGGTTATTTTTTAGATATATTTATGAGTATTTTTTCGTATTAAACAACAATATAATTTAATAAAGCCTTTCAGCTTTAGGATACCAACTTTTTTTTTACGTTGCAGACAATTTCAAACCAAATGGCAAAAAAAAATTTTTTTATACGCCCTTTCAGCACAAATTCCTATTAACCTTTAGGCACGCGATATAACATTATATAATATCATATAATAATATATTATATAATATCAAGACAACCTACGATGTGTATCAGCTGATATCTCCGCTACTTTTTAAGTTATATTGTCGTAAAATATGTATAAAATAATCTGATAGTTTCAATAAATAATATTAATTTTCATACCTTAAAAAAATTAATAAAAAATCAGCATGAAAATATTTTTCTACACGTATTTTCCCCCTTCAGGATTTTTTTTTATTACGAACTTATTTGTTCAAATTAATGATACGAAAAGAAATTAGATAATTATTATTATTACAACTATCATAGTATAGATTTTGATAGTATGATAAAAATTGATGTAATTGATAACGGATGTGTATTTAATACTGTCGCATTGCGGCTAGAATAATAGAGTCGCGACATTCAGAACCTCAGCAATTATTAAACATCAATAAACGTGAATGGTCAATAAAAAACCGATTAATAAACAAAGCTTCGTTGCACAATTATAAAGTTTACAATAGATTTTAAAAAAGGCAATTCGAACAATTCCTCAAGCTATTGAATAATTGTTTAAATAACCAGCGGATTTTTACCTAGCGGACGCGTAATAACTTAAGTACATTATTATCATTATTACTTTAATAATAATAATAATATAAACAGTTATTAAAATTCTGGGGGTGGACCGTACATATTATTAAGTTGTTGCGTGCATCGTATAAATGTGGCACGCCGTGACAATTCACGTATTTTAGAAGCACCGACGTATGTACATGCTGATCTCAGTCCACCGAGGATGTCCAGTACGGTTGTCTCTACAGCTCCTCGATAAGGCACCTCGACAGTCTTGCCTTCCGATGATCTGTAATAATAATAAAAATTATATTTATTAATTAAGAGGCATATTTATTGTGATCTTCTTGTATTTATATGGAGTATATACTTGTAAATTTTCTCACTTTTTTAGACCAATGATTTTACATTTGTTTTTCACAAGAATTATTTTCATTATTTCTACAATAATAATAATTAATAAATTAATATTGATATAGATTACTAAAAAAAAAAAGTTCGTAAATAGCCTTTAGCGATTGTTTAATAAGTTAGTTATTATAAATAAAAGAGCTACCGCACACCAAAATCATCTGAGGCATATTTATTGTGATTTCGCTGTTGAGTATCTCGGTTATATGAGATATTAAATCATAACTTGCCGAGTGAATCCTTTTTGGTAGTTCTACAGTCTCTTATATATTCATATATTTATGAACCACTACACATATATAAGACTAATAATATAATACATAAAATCTTATAAGACTACTCTGAATTCTTGATACTACTTATATTTTTTTTTATACTTTAAGGATACATATATCTCGATTACAAGTTGCAGTAAATAAATTTTAAAATTCTTTTCAAATCGTCTGAGCGATTTTTTAAAATAATTTTATTTGTAAAAAAATTTTTATTTAATAATTAAAGATTAAATACTCATTAATTAATTTAATAAGTGAAATTACTATAAAAATTTTTATTTGAAACTAGCAACCTGCAGTCGCTGTGCGAAACCGGAGATTTATGGATTATGAATAAAAAAATTTTGCCTTAATGATTTTTTTTATATTTATAATCACACTGTACATAGTTTGGGTACTTTTTAAATAAATTAAAAAAACAATAGTGATGTCACAGGATTAATTATAAATAATTTAATGGTAAAATGTGACTGAAAAAATTTATAGAACCAAAAAAAACTATTAAAAACTCCTCCAAAAACTTGACATAAAAAATTGACTACTGAAAAATATATAAAACCAAAAGGCACTAATTCTACTCAAGACCTTTCTGATGATACCAAATTAAACTCGTCACAAAATTTTCCTTACTCTCTCAATTATTTAAATCATAAATAACTATCGCTGAAAAAATATCAAACCGAATTTACGATAAAAATATACCCGTTACTAAATTTTTCTTAATCTCTTAATTCTATAAATTAATTTTTGACAAATTACCGCATTCACGTGTACAAAACAAAATAAATAAATAAACAAATTTTGTTTATCGCGAAATTCTAAACTATTTAAAACTACTTCGAAAACTTATCATAGTAAATAAACTATTTCAGAAAAGCATATGAAACATTGAAAAGGCACTAATTCAGGTCTCGACCTTTCCAATGAAGCTAGACTTAATTTAAAAAACTGATTTTATCACATAAATACATACATCTAGCAAAATTTTATATAGATAATAATTATGAAATTACCTGTATTCAGCTATACCACCGGCATGTTTATCCATAGCAGTATTGGAAGACATCCCATAAAAAAGTTTAACTTTTCTACCATTTCGTTCAGTAACACTACCACCGCATTCATCATGACCCGCAAACATACCACCAGCCATAACAAAATCAGCACCAGCTCCAAATGCTTTAGCCAAGTCACCTGGACATGTACAACCACCGTCCTTTAAAATAAAAATAAATATATCACTTATTGTAATAATAAAAATTTTTAAAAATATAAAAAAATTCCTACGGAAATAATATGGCCCTTAAGTCCATGAGCCGCATCCGCACATTCAATAACAGCAGACAATTGCGGATATCCAACTCCCGTTTTCATTCTAGTAGTGCAAACGGAGCCAGGACCAATTCCAACTTTAATTACGTCGGCGCCGGAGAGTATTAATTCTTCAACCATTTCTCCAGTTACGACATTTCCTGCCTAATAAAAAATGAATAAATATATACATAAACTAAACCTAATGATAAGAAACCGCTCGTGACTCATCACCGAGACGTTATTAATTTTATTCCTTTTAAGTTATTTGATCGATAACAATTTGATGTACAGAGTACTAGCTGGTACTGATATGGTATTATAAACAGTACAAGTCAGTTAAGCTTGTTTATTTATTTAAAATATCAATTGCACTTACAATAATCGTATGACTTGGAAACTCAGCCCGGACTTTTCTTACATACTCGACAAAGTGTTGGGAGTATCCATTAGCCACGTCCAAGCAGATAAATTCAATATCAGGTACAGCTCCAATAACGTTTTTTAATCGATCAAAATCATTATCGCTGGTACCTGAGCTCACAGCCATATGCTTCAAACAATCTTGATTTTTTGATGCAAATTCTTTCCATTCTTCAGCAGTATAATATTTGTGCATTGCTGTGAAAATTCCATGCTGAAAAAAAATATTTATCATTACATAATGAGAGATTACCAATTGATATTGATTGTTTCTTTTTTTTTTTTTTTTTTAACACAAAATAGTTATAAAAAAAAAATAAATGTATGAAACAAATTTTTTTATAGATAATTTTTGATAATGATAATAAAAAATGAATAATGATAATTTTAAATTGACTAAAATTTTTTAGCCTAAAGACTTATTTTATCTTATCATTGAATCATTAAAAAATATTTTTACTAATGATTCTTTAAGCCATGGCACTAATAATTAAACTTTTCAATAAATAAAAAAATTCAAAAAAAATTATTTAATTATTATTGTGTTTTTTAAACTAAAATTAATATTTTCAGCTACTAGTTATTTTAAATATCATTATAATTAATATAATAAATAATGTAATTAAAATTAGCAGACATTTGACAATTTTTTATTAATTTTTTCAATAAAAAAAATTCTTAAATGTCGGCTAATTTAATTTTCATTAAAAAAAAAAAATGATACTAAAGTTAGCCGACGTTTTTAATTTTTTGATTTTATTTTTAATAATTAAATTAACACAACAAAATATTTTTAAAAAATTTCACTTACAGTTTGTGAAGTTTTTTTACAAGTAAAAATTTTTTTGTAATAATTTTTTAAATAAAAAAAATTCTGAAAATTTTTAAACGTCGGCTAACTTAATTTTCATTAAAAAAAAATGTAAGTAAGTACCTTAGCCAAAGCTTTAGCCATTTCAAATGTACCAACAGTATCCATATTCGAGGCCATCACAGGTATACCCTTGTATGTACGTTTCGAATTACGAAACGTCATTTCACGAAAGAGGTCCACCTAAAAAAAGCACATCAATCATACACTTTTACTATTTTTTTTTATCTAACATGTTTCATAATTTCTTCATTCAATCTTTACTAAAAAAAGTCAAACACAATAATTACCGCTGGATATTTATAAAATAGTTCTAAATATAAATATAAATAATTATAAATGTGAAGATATTTTATTTACGGAAGCCAGAATTATTATCGATTGGAATTATTTTGACAGCACTGTCGTAAATATAAACATTTAATAAAACTGAAGTGGAATAAAAATCAATAAAATATAAAGAATAAATGTTACCTCTGATCTACTCTTCAAAGTGCTCCTCTTGGGTCTTAACAACACATCTTTGAAGTCTAACTTGATGTCATTGATGATATTCGGCATTGTGTTATTATTAAGATGAATGCGAATGCGATACGGCAACTGTGAATGCTCTTAGCGGACTAAGTTGACAAGAGTTGGTTATTGTTGTCAAGACCGTCAGCTCAAGTACCGTCAAGAATGTACAAGGTCTAGGTTGCCTTGAGACCAACGAAAACTCACCAAGACCGCTACCAAAGACTTCTCGGTTCACTCCGACCTCCGACTCTCTAGTCTCTACCTCTTCCTTAGCTCTGGCTCTCTCCTCTGCTCTGTTGCTCCGTTGCTCCGTTGCTCCGCACTCCGCTGTTTACGAACCTCGTATACTTATATACTTATACTCTTATCGTGTGTCATGATTATTATATGTGTGATTGCCAGTTGTTATATGTACTTACTACATGAGTTACGAGTTTGGGAAGTCGGTCGAGCAGATTGTGGTGATATGAGAGCAGGAAATAGAAATACTGTTAGATATTTGTACTTGTTGTCGGTAAGATCGCTAGAACAACAATGATACTGAAATTATGAAAATTAAATGACACTAGTATACGTTGCGCGCGTAAGCGCGCGTGTAAATGTTGGTATGGAATTATCTATATTTTCATGCTTATGATATATTTGACCAATCGCGTTACGAATAGTTTGCTCTTACATGATATATTTTCATATTTTTCATCTAAATTATAAGAGTGGATTAAAGTTAGCTGTCACTTGACAATTTTTTAATTTTATTTAACAAAAAGATTTTTTCCAAAAAATTATTTTTAAAAAATTGCATTTTTTATTTTTTTAAATTTCTAAATGTCAATTTTTTTTTCTTACTTTTTTTGTCCATAATTTATTTGCTATAACATTTTTTTAATTATTAAATATGTGCTTCATTAATTTTCATGAAAATTAATTAATATGAAAGTAAATTTAGTAGACATTTAATAATTTTTTTTTTTTTTAATAAACTATGATGTCATTAAAGTTAGCCGACGTTCTAAATTTTTTGATTTTTTTTTTAATAATCAAATTAGAACAAAAAAATTTTTTTAAAATTGCACTTACAGTTTTTGAAGTTTTTTAGACGTGCAATTTTTTTTTTTATTTTTTTGTAATGATTTTTTCAATAAAAAAAAATTAAAAATTTTTAATGTCGGCTAACTTAATTTTCATAAACTATGGCAAAAAAATTAGAAAAAAAAATTAACATGTAGAAATTTTAAAAAATTAAAAATGCAATTTTTTAGAATTAATTTAATTGTTAAATAAAATTAAAAATTTCTCAAGTGACAGCTAACTGTCATGCTAAATTAATTTATGACATTAAAGTTAGCAGTCACTAAAGAATTTTTTAATTTAACAATTAAATTAATTCTAAAAATTATTTTTAAAAAATTGCATTTTTTATTTTTTTAAATTTCTACATGTCAATTTGTTTTTCTATTTTTTTTTTTTTGCCATAATTTATTTGTTAAAAAAATTAAAAAAATTATCAAATATCTGCTAAATTAATTTTCATAATAAAAAAAATAAAAATAAAATTAATTACCTGGAATTGTCGTCAGATTTAGTGCTTGTTGGTATGTCAAACTCATTAATACTATCTTGACCAAATATGTTCATTAAAATATCTATTACCTCCATTTCTACGACATTCTGCTAATAAATACGTCAATTTGTTGTAAATTCATACCTTAAAATAAATAAATTTAATTAAAAAAAAAAATTCAATGATAATAAATCTACAAAACTTACTTAAAATGTATTTTAATCACATAATGTTTAAATATTGATATTTAATTTTTCAGGTTAAAGTTGAAATAAATGAGAACACTTGCTATTGATTTTATAACCACACCTCTGATTCTAAATTTAGGCATTATGCAGCGATATTATTTATTAACAATAATAATATTTTAAATATTATTATTATTATTATTATTATTATTACGATAATTATTAATCATTGACGGGTTTGTTAACTTGAATTTAGCTTGTCACAACTGACGTAATATTAAACGAAGCTCAGATAAATAACGAGAATTTTTTTTTTTTGGTTAACAGCTGATATGGCCGATGTGCAAGATAAGAGGGAAAATTCAAATAGACAATTGCATGTTTATTTATTTATTTATTTATTTATTT